CCCCAAAACCCCAAAACCCCAAAACCCCAAAACCCCAAAACCCCTACGAATTAAATCATTATTGAATCAATATGGGATAAAATAAATTGTCCTAATGGGTTTCTGAATACTGATATAACAATTCTATTAAGGAAAGAATGATAATCCCTAAATTAACTAGGATAATAGCTGATTTTTATCTCATTTAATCATGAAATACGAAAGAGAAGTTCAGGATGATAATTATTTAGCTCAAAATCAATTAGGCGAAAGGATCAAAATTGTTATCTTGGTTCGATTGCGTTGCTGGAGCTGATGTACCATATCCTCCTCCCGTTCCTGTGTATTGGGGATTTTCTTGATATCCTCCTGTACCATAGCCACCTCCTACACCGTAGCCTCCGCCACCATACCCTGTATTGTATTGTTGCTGTCCTCCATAATTGTTATACCCTGAAGAACCATCATTGTAGCCTCCACCGTATCCAGTACTGTATTGCTGCTGGCCTCCATAGCCTCCACTCATTCCTCCGGTATTGTATTGTTGGTAGCCACCTCCTCCGTAGCCACCACCCATATTATTGTAACCCATTGAGTTATCAGTGTAACCGCCAGATCCAGCTCCCATACTTGTATTATAGTATCCAGGCTGAGCTCCACCCATAGAAGTCTGATTTTGAGGTGCAGTAGCAGTATTGTATAGGTTCTTTAACATATTAAAATCGCTTCCTCCTCCAGTTGAATCAGCTGGAGTTTGACCAGATGATCCCCCAAAGTCATCTCCTCCCAAAATATCTTCTAATGCTTGCTTTTGATCTTGCTTGGAGATTGGTTCACTAGAAGTCGGTTGATTTCCTGACCACATATCATTATCTTCATCACCAAAAATGTTCCCATCTGATCCTCTTGGCTGTTGAGTAGAATGTGCTTGATTGCTATCATTGTACACATTTGAGTCTTTATTAGCAAATGGGTCCCATTCCTCTTCATTCTTAGAAGATGATACCATTGTCTCAGATCTTTTTGGAGGAGGCGCCTCTCCTCCTAACAAATCATCTAGTGCAGCTGTATTAAAATCATCTATCTGAATCTTATCCTTTTTGTTCATTCCGGTACTTTTCCTCGAAATTTTTCCGCCACTAACTGATGCCATCTGCTCTTGCTTTTTAATATCTCCTAGGATATCAAATTGGTAGTCATCATCGGAGTCTTCTTCATCTTCTTCCTTGTACTCATCAAATTCTCCCTTTTCTTGATCTTCAAAGTCAGGCATTTCTTCTGCAAAGTCGTCATCATCGTCAACGAAGCCATCACCTCCGGCTTCTTTATCTTTTAGTGCATTCTTCATAGCTCTTTCCTTCTTCGGGTCAGGCTTGTAATAGTTCGGCTCTTTGAAGGAGAACCCGAATAACATAGGGATCGTATTCGCCTCCTTCTTGAGAGTATCAGTGAAACTACAGAAGTTCTTGTAGAGGATCAAGGCCTTGTTCATCTCTGCTGAACTCATTTTCTTGTACCTGTCAAGTGTCTCCATTGTCATTATGTAGAAGACATTGTAAATTTTTACCAAGTCCAGGAAGACCATGTATATGAAGTTTTGGTGAGCCCTATACTTTCTGCAGAAATCATTGTTTTCGAACATCTGGATAATCTGGGTAATCATATTGTCAAAGCTCTCATAAGTTGCGAACAGATCTTTATTTTTCATTTTCTTGATCTGCCTGGTTACTTCTGAAATTCTGATAGAGAGTACCTTGGATTTTCTCATAAATTTGATCAGGAATTTTAGATAAGCTCAATACAGCTGAGATATAAGGAGCTTCATCTTTCCTTCTATATGATAAAATTCACCAATTGAAACGGATTAGGATTCTGAGAACTTTGATAGAACTTTCCAACTTACCGTAAGTATTATCGTTTGGCTTCTTTTTGTAGTATGTCAAAATATCTGATTTTTCACCGAGCTCCTGAGCTACTGCTTGAGATAAATCAAAATCTTGCAAACATCGATGTAAGATGATGAAAACCTTCAAGTTTACAGTCCAATTTTCAGTGTTTTCAATAAATCTTTGTAGAAGCTTCATGAGTGCTTGGCTAGCTGATACTTCTGAATGTGCTCCTTTGAGGCAAGCCATTAGGTCTATAAAAATATTCAAAACCCATCTCCTTACATCTGACATGCTTTTCTTTCGGTTCCTTCGTATCATGGCCATAAGTACCCTTAATCATTCTCTATAAAAACTGAATTAGCTATGCTCTATGCACCCTAAGCCCCTATTGTTTCCTTTTTCACCCCTATTTGTTCTCTAATTTACCTTATCAAATTCAGTTTTGCCCTTCATGGCGGCAAAATTTCTGAACATTTTGTTAAATCCTCCCTTCATTTTTACTGCTAATAATTATTATCTAACCTACCAAATATTATTTATATGGGGTTTTGGGGTTTTGGGGTTTTGGGGTTTTGGGGTTTTGGGGTTTTGGGG